CTTCCCATCAACAGTGATTCCCTAAACAGAAGTAGTAAGAGCAACAATGAAGCAGACATGGAGACAGTTCAAACTCTTACGCTTATGCATGTTTACACTACTTCAACTCAAGAAGTGAAAATAATATTTACTCCGTAAGTTCTACCTTCTGGCTCTTGAACTATGAGGTGAGTACATTCATTCATCTTGAGGTGCCCTGTATATTGCCCACCATGTTCAGCAGTAAGGCGTTGGACTTCTTTCCTGTCTGAATTACTTAAGCCAGTCACACAAATTGTGCAGCCAAGGAACACAGGACAAGCGTAGTCTTCCATGTTAACATCAGTGTATCTCATTATGCTAAAGGAATGAAAGAAAGGAAAAAGAAATATTTTTTTTCTTCCAAGTAAAATCAACCAGAAAAAGAAAGTAGTCAGTATCACCGTAAGAATTACCAGTCCCCAAAACAAAAAGGTTTGTTTTGGTTTTTTATACCTTTGCTGAGACTTATCCCACAGCATCTTAACCCAAGAGGGAAGCAAAATAGGTTTTTTCAGAGAAGCAGCTACTAAGTATTTCTTGCTGCCAACTTCTCCAGCTATAAGGTGAGTTACTGACACATTGAGGTCTCTGTACACACGTCCACCCATCATCTGCACATAATTGTGAACTTCTTCCTGGGTGGGGAAAAAAAATTATAGAAAATTATCAAGCAAAAAGAAAGAACCTACATCACACTCACATTCACCTTAAAAAAAAACAAATCATGGATTTCAATTCTCCATGGTTTCTCCTAAAAACCTGTTCAAAAATACAAAATGGGTATGGATAGAAGCCACAAAAGACATCAAACATTCTTTCCATTTATGACAAGCTGAACATAACATGTACCTTTAATAAAAATACTACAATCATACTGTAGGAGTACAATTTTAAGGATGGTTGACATTTAAGGTAGTACAAATTAGAAAGAAATATCGGAATAAATAAAAAGTAAACTTTTAAGATAAACTATCAAAACCATAGCTGACTGGGTATTAAATCTTTACCATGTAGTTCTGAGTAACCGGAAATAGAGCATGTTGTCTGTAGCATTATAGCCACAGACAAACTAGAAGGGTAAGTGATCTGTCTAATCAATTAATAAAGATCCTTAAAACATACATTTACTCCCATATTAATACAGCTGAAATCTTGTATTATTATATACATATATGCTTATGTAATATACATATGTGCATGCCTAAATACACTACTACATACACGTTTATATACTACATAGAAGACTCCCTCTTTCTCCACACAACCCTCTATGTAAACTATACATAGTCTATATAGAACTACATATATCTAGACACAGGCACAGTTAGACATATATAGCATAACTGCTGCCTTAGTAATGAGCCACCTAAAGCAAACGTCAACAATAATCAGCTAAACCAATCCATTTTATACAATGCATTACCCTAACATCTTTTTCAAGGCTGGTACAGGATACTGTTACATCGGCCATGGTCATATTGTACACTGGATACTCAGCTCTTGGGACGCATCGCTGGGACTGCATACAGTACAGGACTACCTGGGGTCCAACAATTCTACAACCAAGCTGCAATAAAATAACAGAAAAAAAACCCAAAGAAAATTAGCAGAGGGTACACCGGCATAAGGAAGGCTTTCCTTGTCCCTGAATCCTGAGGAAGGCAGGGCCCTTGGCCTCTCCTCCTCCTCCAGCATGCCCAGGTAGTCGACAGTTTTGTTTTTACTTTCAGCTGCGTATTTTCAGTACAATCCTTGTAGGTTTTCTGGCTTCAGAAAAAGCAGCAGATGCTATAGCTAACATGCCAGAGAATTCCAGTTAGCCCATCTTTGTCTGCTGGTCATGTCCTTGTAGGTCACATAAAATCATGTTACTCAGGAGGTAAAAATTGCGAGAGCCAGCTTAGCGACTCCAGCAGAATCAAAACTGGTCATACTATTTATTTTTCCACGTGCTTCAAAATAATCCTTATGCTTTGCTAGTCATCTTCTTCCCTAAATACAGGATGCAGTGAAGTTTTAAAGATTTTATTGTGAATACTTCATAGTGCTGTATTCAGTGCAAGAAGAGAGAACATACAGAATGTAAGTATGGACGTGAGTGCTTCTAGAACAGAAAGTATATAGCTAGAAGTAAATTGATGGGTAGCATACCTTTTTGAGATGATTGAAAACAACGCCTTTAAAAGGATCACAAATGTAAAGTGATTTATCATTTTCTTTTATATTGAGCGCTGTTTCTTCTTCAAGGATCTGGAGATGTTCTTCTGACTGAAATTCTTTTATAGACTGCAGACAAACAGTGCATACAACAACATTTGTTTAATTAACAAATCACAAAAATCCTGTGGAAACTACAGAAGTACGTCTAACTTGAAACAGCTCACAAAGCTACCATGCAAGAGTATACTGGCAGAAGAAAGGGCTAAAATACCTCATGGGTGCACCCCTCATTCCTCCAGGTCTTCACAATACTCAAACATTCATCATGCAAATTTTCAGGACCTGATCTTGCCACACAGTGCCTTCCGCTCCCACTAACCTCTCAAGGTGGAAAACAACCCACAATGTCCTTCCTAAATTTGCTTAGTGCTTAGGTGAGTGACCACCATCCAAGACCTTCCAAGCTACATGTCACTTCACTAAATGTCAATGGGTTTTGAAACAATATTTCTTGTTCAAGAAGCAATTTCTTCAACAAACGTTATTAAACACTAAACACCTCTATTACAGAAATAGCTTTATATCCAGACATATAAGCTACATCCAAGTCAACCACAGAAATAATTTACTTAGATAATCCACCAAGCTCACCAAGAAAGGTGATGAAACCTACTTACCTCAAGAGCTTTAAAAAAATACTCCGAGTTCCCAGAAGACTTTATGAATTTCACAAAAAATGGCTCCTTACTGCTTCTCATCCTTTAACTGAGAAACAAAACCCAGTAAGCCTCCTGACGTTTTCGGCGCAGCCCGGAACCGCGCACTGGCGGGGCGCACCGCCCACCTCCAGGAGCTGCAGAGCCCCTCGGCCCCGATCCAGGTCCGGGTCCCAGTTCCTGTCCCTGTCCCGGTCCCTGTCCCTGCCCCCGCCAGCCCAC